ATACACATATGTATATATTTCATATGTATATTATGAATGTATGTTATTTAATAGGTGTTATGGAAAAGTTAAATATTGGACCAAAGGATCTCATGAAAATCAACAAGAAGTTAATATATGCCAGATTAACTGGATATGGTCAAACCGGTTCTTACGCAAAAATGGCTGGTCATGATATCAATTACTTGGGCTTGTCTGGTAAGAATGTGCGTGACTGAATACATATATAATTCATTGTAGAGGTACATAATATATTGACAGTTATAAATTCAACTAACCAATTCATCTCCGCGTTAATTGCGTATTGTATCAATTTGCTACATTATAATTCAATATAATAAATTTAATACATTCCTTCACTAATAGGGCCGAATTATTTTACAAGAAAGAATATGAATTTGAAATGCAGGGTTACTGTCTCTGTTTGGCCGATACAATGAGAAACCCACGCCGCCCATCAATCTGGCCGCTGACTTCGGTGGCGGTGGCTTAATGTGCGCTCTTGGAATAATCCTGGCGCTATACGAACGACGTGATAGCAATGTCGGGCAAATAGTGGACGCGTCGATGGTAGAAGGGTCCGCGTACTTGGGTTCATGGTTGTTCAGATCGCAGAAAATACCAATACTGTGGGAAAATTCACGTGGTAAAAACATGTAGGTGTTTTTCCGAAGTTGTCAACTGCTTCTTCTCATTCAATTTCTCTTATTTTTTTAATCTGAATGAAAATTCATGTGCTCCGCAGACTGGACACCGGTACGCATTTTTACGACACGTACGAGACGAAGGACAAGCGTTACATGTGCGTGGGAGCTCTAGAGCCGCAGTTCTATGAAGTCTTCCTGGAGAAGCTCGGTCTCACGAACGAGGAGCTGCCGCAGCACACGAATTTCGAGGAGAATCGCCGTAAGATCACGGAAATCTTCAAGGGGAAAACCCAGGCGGAATGGTGCGCTATATTCGACGGCACCGACGCGTGCGTGACGCCGATGCTGAGTCTGAAGGACGCTGCTTCGCACGCTCACAACCGGCACCGGGAAACGTTCACGACAATAGAAGACGACGTGATACCAAATCCTTCTCCTCGTTTGTCTCGCACGCCCGCTACTTCCGTGGGAACGCGAAAAAATCCGCAGGCTGGCGAAAACACCGTAGAGATCTTGACTGAATTGAAGTATCGATCTAAGGAGGTCGACGATTTGCTGTCGAACGGCTTTGCTTATCAGGCGGACCTCCCTCGCACTTCTAAAATCTAGCGGACAATATCGAAAAACGTTCGCTTCAATCGTCGGAAAATATAGGAATTTACCGCCGCCGAAAAGTGTGATATATACTGGTTTGTATAAAACTTACTTTATTTGTCGGGACATCGACTTTGTTATATAGTATACACAATCGCATGCATAAATGTACACATATATGTACATACATATACACAGAATCGGCGGTTACAATCGACCAAGTATCTCGTACCTGCCACGTGCAAATTCATCTTGAGTCTATGCTTATCTAAAACGCTCATCTGCAATTAACTAGTAGACTAACGGTTGTAGAAAATCGAATAAAAGAAAATTGGAATAAGTCTCGAATGAAGTCTACTCGTCAGAACACCGATAGGGATGTCGTCTCAGAGACGCTACAAACCCATCAGCACTGTACTGGCAGTGACGGTTACTTGGGTCGGCGCGCTGGCTTGTCTCACGCTCATTTCCCACGTATCCAACAACTGCGAGAGCGAGAAACGACGCGGAAGTTTGGCGATACGGGCGTTCAAAGCCTTCTGTACGGCACAGAGGAACGTCGTTGCCTCGTATTCATGCGGCGCCATGACACAACGGGGCGGCGTCAAGGGGTAATCCGCAGGAACCGTGACGGACACAGGCGGGACGCAGGGGAGATGACGGTCGTCGAGCCAGCATATCAATTGTATGCATTTCGAGCCGTTCTGCTGCGCTGGATCCAGACTGACCTGAAGCGAGAGAGCAATTAAATTCTTACGGATCAGACTCTTTCTCGCAAAGATTCGTCTTTCTCGGCCGTCTGTAGGTTTAATTACACTTATGTATGCAACGAGAGAGATTCATAACTGTTACGTAAAATTACCACCAACTGTCTCGATTCCTTTCGGATCCCCTTCAAGGCGGCGATCGTGCAACTTTTTCTCAAGAACGAAAATGGGGAATATTGAAATGATTTTCACGTTTCCATTGTTCGAAAAGTCATATGATCGCTGGAACCGTCAACGTTGACGTGAAACTTTTCACGTTACTGCTCTTAGGAAAAAAATTGCACAATCGCTACTCTGTGATACAAATTGCAACTAAATACATAATTTTAATTAGACCTTTCCTTTACATTACGAATCTTCTATCCTTAATGAGAGTGCATCAGATATATGTATAATGAGCCGATAGATTCAGCAGTCGTAATTCACGACTCGGGAGTGGTAAGGGCTTTCGCAAATGTTATTCTAAAAGAAGATAGAAGCGACCATCTACTTAGAATTATGTTATGTGGCAATTTGTGTGCGAAAGCCCTAACCGATGAGAAATCCTAACGAAGTTACGTACTTTAAATCGCTGATCCAGTCTGGCTATCTCTCCTTGCAATACGTCTGGTATCTCGCTAGGTGGTTCTTCGATTTTCTGCTTCTTCAACGGCGGCGGTAAATTCCTATATTTTTGTGCACATTAATATTACATTTTCTTTCGGATCGCGTTGCAAAGAAAGTGAAAAAGAATCCGTTGTTGCTTCGCACTTACTTGATCTCCGGTGCGAACAAAGCACCCAGGTAGGGTCCGAACGTACGTTGTAACGTGTGATTGATCACCGGGCTCTGGAGATGCGCGCTCACCGCTTCTAACAGCGGACTGAAGATCTGGTGTTCCTTCAACGTCGGTACCGACGACCCGACACTACTGTCTCCCCTCTTGAAATCCAACTTCTCCAAAACGACCTCGCACTTCAACAGTGTGTCCAGCGGCATGCGTTTACTGGGATTCGACAGAATCTCCAAGAGCTTCTTCATCTTACTGAGCTTGTCGACGTCTGGATAGTCACGAGACAAATAAGGCGATTTTTCAAATTGTTCAAAATTTTTAAAAAGACGTCGACATTGAGAAATCTGCAATTACATTTTTTAACTAAGAATTTAAACTGAAAAAGCAGCTTTGTGAATTTGTGAAAACGAGAAAGCGACATCTTAATTGTTTAGCGTATAAATAGAAATTTTCCAGTTTTGAATAAGTTTTTCCGTCAGACTTCTCGTTCTCATAGTTTCTCGTCTTTTCACCGTCGACCGGTTCATTTCTAACAACACTCAATGTTTCCTTACTTCCTTCGCTGCTCATCTTAGCGATCATTCTTCGCAACGGCTCGATGTACTTGCTCAATTGTCTGACCTTGTCCCTGTAAGCCTGGTCCTCCTGCTGAGGACTTGGTGTGGCGCCTACACCTCCGGGGGTGTTCAACGAACTGCTTGGCGACGGTGCCATACCTGTTTTAAATTAGTTATTGTACAGCTTTCTCTCCTTCTCATTTTCTGCGCTTAAGAATACTAAATCACTTGGACTTACTACTTACCTACGGAATTCACGGAACGAGACGGCCCCGTCATGATGCCATGCTGCGGGCTTGGCGATGGCACTAACGCGGGAGATGCCACCATCTGATTGCTGCAAAAACAGTTAGTTTGCTATTTTATGATTACATTGTAACAGAGCCACAACAGGTGCTTCCGTGTGTTTGTTAAGCGATACACTCACCTCGATGGTGCCCCCAAGCCGGCTGGACTCGGAGCCGAAGGAGACGGGCTCTGTCTCAAGAATTGATTGGGTGTGACATTACGTGGGCCAGGAAATCCAGCATTCATCATTTCATTTGGCTGAAAATGCGCGTAACAAATGATTGTTGTAAATATTAACACTTAGCTGACTGGTTTGAAAAGTCAGCCAATTCAATTTTCACCATCTTTATATTCTCAACAATATCTTTTCCTTCATATCTTTCTTTGTTAACATAAGCATAATTACATACTTTTCTTTGAATGTGATTCAATTGCTGCTGCATCTGGCCAGGCAACTGTCCAGGGCCGATTTGATTCATTTGCTGCGGCATGCTGGTCTGTATACCACCTATCGGACCTCCAATTTGACTGCCCATCTGACCTGGTAACTGATTTTGCATCTGCGACTGAAAACAGGGAACAAAATCCAATGAAATCGGTGGCTATTTGGAGATATTTCTTGTATATAGAAACAGCTTTTCTCACATAGAAAGATAGCTCACAGAACATGATATATAAAGACTGAATATGTACCTGCATGTTTTGCTGTATCTGTCCAGTGGCTAACTGACCCATCTGTCCTGGCACCATCTGATTCATTTGTTGAGGAATACTCCCTTGTCCCATTTGGCCCATCTGGCCTAGCATAGGACTGTTCTGCATGGTCTGGATGGGACCCATGTGGCTCATCGGACCGCCAGTTTGCGCTGGCATCATACCCATACCTGGCATTTTGTTCTGCATGCCAGGCATGTTCATCGGTTGCCCGGGACGTTGAGTCAAGCTTTGTAAAACTAACAAAAACCTTACACTGTAGCATAGCTCAAAGAAGTCTTATCTTATATGAATTACTATCTTAAATTACCGCCTACTTGATAAACCTCGGAAGATAAGCATTCCGGAAGGTGTACAAAAAATACACAAAACAATAGGAACGTACATTTCTCAATATTATAATACAGCTCTTTCACATATCATGCGACTCATTACTGCGATATGTACAGAAAACCCGGCGGCACAAAGAAGCGCAATTTGAAATGTAAATTAACAGCTGCGATTGACAATCCAGCGATCCTTTAATTCGACTCATAACTCGTCCTGCTCGCTGCAACTAATTTCCCCCATAAATCCCTCGAACGCCCTCTTCAGGGGGAAAACGTAAAAGTTCCGCAACTTAGACCGCAATTTGCCTCGATATTCGTCCTCCACATTTTTCACCACCGAACGAAATGCATGCTCGTAAACGATTTTGCGGACTCGAAGCTCCTCGTCTAACGTCAGTTTTACCACGATCACGTCCGCGCGACCGAACTTTCGTAGATCGCTTGGCCACGCGTCCTCGGAAAACATCAGTTCCATCGTCCGGAGAGTCGGATGCAGATGAAACTGCATGTCCTTATAATTCCGTCGGACGTCGCGGATGAATTCGTGCAGGGCGGTTAAGCGAATTATGAAAGCGTGTATCGAGCGTCTCACGTCGTAAATAATGTCCAGTATCTCTTCGGAGACGGGGTTGCGCGTACCGGACCTGAGCCGGTTCCCGAGATCTATCACTGCCGGCACGAAAGAGTAGCCCGGACTAATGTACCATTTTCGCAAGAGACTACGATACACCAGCACTACCTTAAACTTAAAGCTCGTTACACCGAGAATCTCATTACCATTGGGCTTGTAGATAAATTTCACATGTTTATTGTTGTGCAAACGCACTCCCGTACGCCCCGTACCGTCTTGCTTGAGTTTCGCGTCCGCCACGAGTTTCTGCAACTGTGATCCTGACAGTGGTATCACGTTTCCCACGATGACCCGATCTCTCGTAGGTTTTTGAACTTTTGCGACTTGCACAACGTTCGTTGATTGCCGGGCACTTACGGCTCGCAGAGCACTCGCAGATCGTTGAGTGCTCGGAGATTGATCGCTCGGAGGTTGATCGCTCGAAGATTGTCCGCTCGAAGATTGTCCGCTCGAAGACTGTCCGCTCGAAGGTTGATTGTTTGAAGATTGATCGCTTGAATACTGATCGCATGGAGATTGACCGCTTGAAGATTGCTCGCTCGGAGGTTGATCCTTCAGAGACTGTATAATGTTTGTAAGCGATGTAACTGTGATCGGACGTTGCCGAGTGCTTGTACGTTTCGTGACGCCTGCGGGTTGTCGAACGTATGCCAATTGTCCAACTTGTTGAGCACGGACGGATGGCCCAATGATCGCGCATTGTCGCACGTTCGCGGACTGTCCGTTACCTGCAGACTGTCGGACGTGTATAAATTGCTCAGCGTTCGCAACTGACAGAATACGCGGCGATTGTTGAGCGCTCGTTGGTTGTTGAACGTTTTCAGCTGACTGATTATTTCCGGAACGTAGGATTCTTGCAACTCGCAAAATATCTGAAATTTGTTGAAAATTTCCAGATCGTTGAACGTTAGTGACTGGTCGAGTACTTGCAGTTTGCTGGCCGTTCGCAACTTGTTGAATATTCGCAAATTGTCGGATATCTGTAACCTGTCGAACGTTTGCGGCTTGTTGGGCGATTTCAGCTTGTTGAACGTTCGCGGAATGCTGAGCGGACGAGGGTGTGATAACACGCGCCGACCGAGACAGCAATAGCGACTGTGCTCGCAATACCGACTGCGATTGTGACTGCAATCGTGACTGTGGTATCAACTGTATTACAGGTATTTCACTTTGACTCGAACCGCTATCCTGGCTCTCCGTATTAATCGCGCTCCCCGCATAGCGCGCATTATCGTGTCCTTCCATTTTTCACTTCAGCGGGTGGATTTCCACGTTGAAGGGTGATACGCACGTGTCACGAGTCAACGACGTCGGATGCTTCTTCGCCGATGTTAAGACCAATATGGCTGTCTGAGAAGCAGCTGAGCTCGTCTGCGTGGAAGATAGTCCTGCACAGAGATAATCAGTGCATGGACTCAGTCTGTAAGCTCCACGGCACTATCATAATATTTACTGTTGTCGGAAGACCTCACTCGATCACGTTTCAAGTTCGTTCGATTGTGAGTATAATATACCGTCCGTTTCCACGTGGTGTTGCCACAAGACGCACAAAGACGAGCGTGTATAACGGCAGGACGCGATGGGAAGAGAGTGCAGCGCGCGTGTAATATACCGTTGATTCACTGAACAAAGTTCAACAGATATCGATGATTATCGGCATCGATGAAGCGAGATAAAGGGACACAGAAGTCGGAAGTGAAATACCTAAGAACGCAACCACGAGCGGAAGTTAACAGAGAGGCGTAGACTAAACCAACCCGAGGCCAGCGGCCGTGTGCACCGTCAGCTGACTTGTGCTATTGTCATACCAGAGGGTAGAAAACACTAGAAGAGCATGCTACCTGCGTACACAATGCGACGTCATGTATCCCGTGTATAGAAAAAAAGAAAGGAACGCTCCGAAGCCTCACGGGGCGTCTTTTAGTGAATTGCACCTGCAATTTAGCAGTGTAAATCATCTGGAAACGGCGCCATGAAAAATAATGCGACCCCCGGGTTGAGCAGGCCTGATTAAGTGAGGAAAATGAAAATAAAAACTGCGATAAAATCAGAATTATAATAACAGCATTTTTTGTTAATTCTGCGCATACAAGTGAAAGGAACTAAACAACAAACACTAAGATGATCGTAACGAAAGAACGTTAGTTTTGCAATTTACCACATTCGTTCGAACACTTTCTCCTCGACGCATCTGACATCCAATGAGAAAATTTCTATTCTATGAAAATCGAACTGAAAAACAAGTTTTCTATTGGATGTCAGCTGCGCGTTAATACGCCGAAGAAAACAAATAGGAAGTAGGAAACAAATCCACGAGACGACACCAATCCGAAGCCGGATCAAGCATGTACACACCGTACACAAATGAATATTCAAACTACGTGCGTTCTGCAAACTCGAATGTATATACCGGGATCGCATAAATTATTCAAACTGATATGAAAATTAAGGCGGTTGTTATAAATCTGTGAACAGAAATAAGGATTTATCGGTGGATCTTGTAATGAATAACACTCTACTGCCAAACACAACATATTAAAGCCAAAGATGATGAAGAGAATGAGAGGGGGGAGGGGAAATATAATAATATAATAAAATAAATGTTTTCTTGAATATTTGATAGCTCTAAATTAATAAATTTTTCGTCATTTTGCTATCGTTTAATTGTTAAATCGTTTAATTATAAATTCCGCAAGTCTTCTCAACACGTTGCTTGAGATTTACATCCAGAATCCTCAACGGCGTATTCGAAGTCCAAGGAATACGTACATTGCAAGTTCATCAGCAGTAGTAGTAGTTGCACGATCCGCACACGATGTTGAGGATTGGCTAGCACGTTTTCGAGATTTCTCAGTTTTGAGTCCGCAGTGTCAATTTTAAAGTTTAACATGCCGACGGTATCAATTTTTCATAATATCGCGTCGAATTTCGATCCTGGAGCTAACATCTTGCAGATCAGCCGACTTAAGAGAATTAAGAGAATCATAGGGATAAGAGAATTTCGTTGCCGGTAGGAATTAGCAGAATTTTGTTATTTTCTGGCTTGTGAATGTATGTTTGTCGGCAGGACGCTTGTTCAACTTGCAAAGAACATAGCGTGCATGTTATATAAAGCTGTATAATGTGATATAAACCGCGTTTTCAACGAGTATATGTGATATGAACTGAATATATGTGACAAAATTTTGATATTAATTTCAATATATATGATAAAATTTTAAGTTCGATCAGCATTGAGCTGAACAAGAGAGACAGCGGCAAGTATTAAAGTTACAAAGAGAAGTGGTAAGTGTGGAGAAAAGGTGTATAGCAGCTAGGATTTTATGTACAGTCAAAATTATAAGTGTCAACTATAGTAAAAATATGAACTATATAGTAATAACAATAACTATGGTAGAACTGTTAATATTGTTCAGAATATAAGAAACTACATTAAAAAAGAAAAAAGAATGCTTCAATCATCCGCATGCGATGCTTCAAATTAAGGAAGTTATATAAGCGGAAGTCAAATAAATCAAAAGATGAATTCAAAGTAGAAAGCAACCCTTAACCCTTAAATGCATAGTGTTGCAAATTTGCAACATATTTATTTT